GTTTATTGGAAGTGGCCGGCCTCCTTATAACTGGAGAAATATGTGTGTGTGCGTGTGTAAATGTGCTATCTTAATTTAGTTAATACTAACAACTTAATCTAATAATTAATGACTACAAATTATTATAATTATTTTACAATATTGATTATATAATTTATTTTAATTATATATGATAGCTTAAGTATTATCTCCTTACGATGAGTAAATATCGTACTAAAATATATGTTATTTGATAATAAAAAAGAATGGAATCGGATGTAAATGTTTTACTATCATTCCTGTTATTAATTGTTTGATTTATTAACATTACATAATATTTTATTTTACATAATGTATGATAGCTTAAATAGCATATCATTACAGTAATATATCATAATACAATAGATATATCCACAAATTACATACACACTGTAGGGTATGATTATTAAATAATGTTTGCCGTTACGTTATGCCGTTTTTCAGGTTTTTTATTTAACGATTTAATACCATACCTACTCGTATAATAAGTGCGAATGAAGAATACAATATACAAATAATGTACAAAAATTAAATCGCTTATTTAAGGGAACCTCCGACCTCACTTTTTCATATTTACGAAGCACCGTTTTGGCAACGACTTCGATATACTATATTAGTAATAATAGTTTTCAAAAAAACGAATTAGAACTCTATAGTCTATATTCAATAGCATTTAGAATTTCAAAATAATTTAGAAAAATTGTTTGTGAACTGTTGTGACAAACAATTGTTCAACCGGGAGAGGAGTTGATTTAATCCTTTCTCCTTCGGAATTTTAATTTTTTTTTATGAATTCTACGTAACACCCATAGTTTATAATATAATATTCAGTATTGCGATTTCACGCAATTCTTTGTAAACAGTAATGCGAGTACATGTTAAATATTTTTTTGAAATTCATATTCATAACCCTACCTCTTTACCCCTTTCCCAATAGAATTAATCCTTTTTTACAAGTCAACTTTTTTTTTATGTTTACACTGCTGCGAAAAGTGAATTTTGTTAATTTAACTGTTAATTGTTACCTTTTTAATTTAACGAATTCTAAATATAAACAATAATTCGACAAACGAGCATTAAGTTTTAAATGTTTTTGTGCATACATACGAGTAGGTTAATATTTATCATTCGTGAGCCATTTCATAATATATTATACACGTCGAGTGTGACAATAATATATCGGTTGGAAGTTCCGCCCTGGAACATATTTAAATTTTGGATTTGTGTTCCGAAATAGGTTTTTACGGGTTTTTTTTTTTTATATTTTATTGTGGGTATTTTAATATAATAAATTTAGAACGCAGTATAAAATAATAATATATGTACCTCCTGATTAGAGATATGTATAAAAAATTATTATTATTATTCGTATAAATTATATTTAGTTTTATGCGCACCGATTGATTTATTGTGATGGTACTGTTTTGTTTTGCATACGGGACGGCTGGACAACAGCCGATAGTCCATCTTGGCTGGTAACATAATATTTGCATTTTGTTTTGTTTTTTATGAAATTGATTATTTTTTCTATCAAATTTCTATAATTATATTATGCGCATTGTCATCGAACGTTTTTTGTCTTTAGAATATCGATTTAATACATTAAATTGTTAAACGTTTAAACGATATAATTTCAATACACAATAGTCTAAAACGGAAGTCAGACGCCTAATATATAAGGCGTCACGTATAGGCAATAATATCATTTTTGAAGAAGAAAAACGAAACGATGTGTATGTACTCGAAAATATTAAAATTCGATTCTATAATAAACACCTAATATTATTTGCAAATTGCTCTAAATTATCTGCATTGTTCTTTAAAAGATTAAAAGACTTTTTACCCAATTTTTCGCTCAAAAGTACTTTATTTGAAACAATTTCTAGATTTACTACAGTTCTACGATAAAATTTTAAAATTGACAACAAATGTCGATACATAGGTTTTATTTTTGTTGATTTCTTGATTACTTTGGAAACTTTGAAAAAACTACGATAGATATAACTCTGCTAAGAATCGATTTTTGATTACAAATATCTATATTAAAGTACTTAACATAAAAAAAAATGACTATAAAACCCCTGGGAGGAATCTATCATCATTCCCCCTTCTGTGACTACGCCACTGTTCGCAAACATAATATAATGTAACGAAAAAGGATATTTGAATATAAAAAAAATCGTATATTAATTTTGAATTTAAAAAACTCGAATAAAATTTTTTTTTTCTTTTATACACATGATATAAA